GTTTGGTTCTTTAAGTGACAAGGAAATTACGGTTTTTTTGTGTGCATGCCTCCAATGTGTTCGACTAAATGCTTCAGTGATATTACTGTGTGTAACACCCCCAACCCGTATCCGACCCGATCCGAGTCCGAGATGTCACATTGGCTTTTCAAAACTCTGTTCTTTACAAATTCTGTAAAATCTTAAATTATCATTTAAGAAAATGGGTGCTTCATATAATAATTACCATCAAATTGTTTCTTCAAAACCGATCAGAGCGTATTCAATTTAAATTTTGTGACTACATGCCACTAAACTCTATAAACAAAATACATATGTTCAATATGTTTCTGATTTGATCATCGTAAGGAAGATACTAACCTGTCTTGCTCCACGCTACATCCATTCTAGCTTCTCAAACCTATTTGTGAAGCATTCACACGCTAAGTCGATGACTTAGTGAGACATATAAAACATATAATGAAACTATTCACATATTTCGTGCAAAAAAAAAAACAATTAGTATTTTTATCGCATACAAAAGCATTTATCCTTTCATATAACCAATACACACATATACATATATGATTTCACAAAGAGTTCACGTAGCATCATATCAAATTATACATATTATGTACAATTATTTCCATTATTACCAATATGTCCGTTAGTCCTTATTATTTGCTACTCTTATCCGCCAACATCATATCATAGCCCATATATCACTTTATATTACAAAAACACATATAATCTCATTATCATTATCCTTATTCCCATTATCATATGATTCCAAAATTATCATTATACATGTCACATAACACAGATATCAATTCACAAATAAACACACATATTCTCATACCAATTATTGATTTTCTTTAAAGCCATGCACTCTTTTGAGAACTTAAGGTATGTGAGTACATAGAGGGTTGTGCACTATGCTGTCACCACAGCTCGTATAATTCCCACTAGGGGCGCATAGAATTTGTCCCGTAGGACCACTATGTCCTGTAAGACCACGTAGAACACATATGTCCCGTAGGACCACTATGTCCCATAGGACCACGTAGAACCCTCGACTCTTGGCATGTCAATTATACCTATAGCTCTCATAACACATTACATGGGTGTTACCTTTTATATCTTTTCACATATTCACGTAGACACATAGTTTACTTTCACGTAGCATAGTTCCATGTAATTCACATTCACTTATCATATAGCTTCTCACTTTTACTTGTATTCTTTTTCACATAACAGATGTTTGCATATACATGCTCTCACACGATCCCTTTATTCAGTTATAACATTTAACCTAGCTTATTACACTATCATGTATTCACATCACTCATTTAGCATACATAGTATATCATGTAACATTCTAGTAGAAACACATATAAGTCATATCACTTTCACATATATATTTCATCTCATGGGATCACATAACCTATTGTCATATATACATACATTTACATAGGTCATATAAAGATAAATTCAATCAATTAAACATATGCATTTACTCATATACAATACATTTATCACCATATCACTACATGTTTATGCTTTCGTACCACTAATCACATAATTTTGGAATTAGACTCATAGCAAGTCTTAATTCCCTATACATAATGTACACTTAATATCATGTACTCACTTGGTCTCAATGAACACTCATGAGCTCTTGTTCTTCCTTGCGTATCTTACTTTGTCGACCTATCCAAACTTTGCTTTCGATCGATGTCTACAAAATCATGTATTGATATCATCAGTATCCAATTAATATACTATAATCTATCATTTCTTAGACTTAAATAAAGATTTATTCCATTTTCATTGAAGTTCATCGGTACATTCTACAATGTATCGATGCATCCCTTTACATGTGTATCGATGCACTACCCCTGCATCAGTACACAATTTACATTCGATGTTTGTATTTTAATGGGGTGCATCGATGCACTTCTTATGCATCGATGCACTAATTGCATTCGATGTTCATTTATTTGAGAGTGCATCGATACACATTGAAGATGCATCGATGCACACTACCCAGAAATTACATCTTGAACACGAAATTCACTCTCTTTTCAGCTCAAATCTTCATCTTTCGCCTCCTTTAATAATCCTAACTTTTATACACATACTTGCACTCATTTCTACTCAATAATCACTTCTTTAACCTCCATATCCTCTCCTCCTTATGAAATTCAAGAATCATACCCAAATTTTAACATGTTACAAATTCAATTCTAACACTTCATACATGTTAATTAGATTGATGAAAAGTCAAATTCACTCTTAAACCTCATTAAAGAACCCTCTTTCAAGATTTCACTTATTCCTCTCTTTTCTTTAATTTCCTCTATTCTCTTCATCTTATTGTTTCAAAACAATTTAAGCTCTCCTTAAGCTTAACTATCACTTAAAAATCAAAACTCAACCTTAAATTTAACCAGAAACTCAAAAATCAGAAAACTCACCTTTAGCTCTTGGTTTTCAAGCGTGAAGGAAAAAGAAAGATGAAGAGAACTCTAGAAACCACTTTGTTTCTTTTCTCTTTCACGTGTTTAATATATAACCATCTTTAATTATTTTCCCTGCAAATGACCCTTTTGCCCTTCAATTCATCTAATAATTACTAACATCTTTCAAGTATATTTCCAAATAATCATTGAACTATTCCATTCTTCTACTTTAGTCACCAAATTCTGAAACTTTACGATTTAGTCACTAACCCATAGTTTATGATGTTACACTGTGAGTCCAATTCACTGCTGCGTGAGGACAAGTTTTGTTATGTGTTGCATTGCTGGTTGGAAACTAGTAAGTTGATGTTGAATAATGGACATTGGTACAATGTTGCTTTGCTTAGCTATTGACATTTTAGTTTCTACATTGACTATTATTTCTTCTCCAAAGTTTGACATGGAACTTGAAAGCTTAACAGCTAAGTTACCATAGAAGAAATTTTCTGGGGAGGGTTTAAGAGCTTAACAGCCTTGCTCTATTTCACCAGATAAAATAGGGTGTTTTCTTGTCCAAGAGAGACTTCAAATTGCACCCGGGAGCTCGAAGCTTAACAACTTTTCTTCCAATAAAAAGATTGAAGAAGAATGAAAGTAAATATGAAGAATAAGAGGAAAAAAACTCTTGAAGAAAAGAGAAGCTGAAGAAAGCTTATTTCAACGAAAAAAAATTGTTCAATGTACACGAATTCTAGCTCACAGTTTTAACTCACTAGGCTTGCAACATTGTTCGATCAACTCTCAAATCACAAGGTGAATTTCAAGAAGGGCAAAGAACCAAGGTGAATAAAGAAAAAAGAAGATGACACTATTTTCTTTTGGATGCCATTTTTTTCTTCCAAGAAGATCAAGTAGAAGAAGCAGGAAGAATGTTAGAAATATAATATAATAAAATGTAATTAGTTGGTATTGGGTTAGTCAAAATTAACTGAATTTGTTAAAGGTTGGTTAGTTTGTTAGATCAAGTTGTTAAACTTGCTTTAGTGATGCTATGTAAGTACTGTTTATAATGGGTTAAAGACCCAAGCATTTTGTGTAATTCATTTTCACATTTTAGTAAAACACAATCACCGCTGTTCATCTCTTCTTCACGCACACCAATCGTTCTTCATTTCTTACCATCGATGACTCCTTTCTCATAACCACTATATACAAAATTTAGAAAAACTCTATAGATGTTATAAAAAGTGATAAATTAGTCTATTTTACTCTATTCTCGTATTAGATACAGAGAGTGATGAGTTAGTTTTGGAGTGTAGAATGAATTTCACCCAAAACTAACGGCCGAGCAGTGTCTTGATTGAGTTAGTTTTGGAGTGTTGGATGAATTTCACCCACAACTAATCCACAGTTTAAAGTTTGTGGATGATAGGGAAAAAATGGTGACGTGGCCATTTCATATTCTTTCATACTACTAATATAGATTTATTTTATTTATATAATACAAAAAAATAAGGTGAGATCAACGTGCCCTTTTTGCTCAAATCGGAAAGTGTCCACATATTTCAGACATGGTCACGCAATTTTCATAGGATTTCATGTCTTTATAATATTTAAAATTTTATAATATTACTAATTAAGTTAAATAATAATATAATCGATTTTTAATTAAAAAATAAATTATAAAAATAAACTTCTAATAATAAATATTAAAAAATAAACTCATAATAATAAATATTAGAAAATCTAAACCATAATAATAAGTATTTCGAATAATTTGATCATATAATTCATTATACAAATTCTAGACCCTAGACTTCTTGTCCAGACCATTGTTTTTTTTAATACAACACTGATTTGAATATTAGTGTTTAGATGGATTATGCTTTCTGCCCAAACTACTTTTTGTCATATTGGAAGACCTTGACATGGAAATTGCATATCCGTGTCTTTCGCTATTTAATTTATTAAAAAGAAGAGTGTTAGGATTGGAGATACATGGGTTGAAGTTATGGTTTGACTGCGAGAATTATTTTGAGCTCTACGATAAAAAAGAATCCAATGTTAATATAATATATGTGAAGAACAAAACAAAGAACCAGCTGAACTTTTCAGAATTGGGAGATCACATGTTTATGAATAAAAGAAGCCGAGCAAAGTAAAGCATTGCGCTTTCTTCTCCTCCCTCTTTCCTAACCCACACAATCACTACTCTTCCATGGCTTCTTCTTCGTCACCCTCTTCTCATCAAAGTTTGAAGATCGTTACTTTCTTCAAAATGATAGAGAGAAAATATCAAAGTTTATGAAATGAGCTTTTTTCTGAACTTTTATAGACACTCTTCCATATGAACCACTTTAACTCAACATAGGCTAAACAATGTCAAAGTTTTGTTTTATTTAATTCATTCTCTTACCAACTTTCGAATCTTTACCTACCCATGGGGACAAGGGAAGAACCGGCATCTATAATACTATGTATCATAATAATATAAACAAAGCAAAGCTCCCTTGCTGTTTCTCTCTCTTTTGCTTCCATAACTCAATCCATCCTTCTTTCATGGCGTCTTCTTCTTCTTCATCCTCTCGTCTAACGAAGCATCAAGTTTTCTTGAGCTTCAGAGGTGAAGACACACGCCTTAACTTCACCGCTCATCTACTCCAAGCTTTAGAACACAAGGGAATATCCGTATTCTTCGATGAAAAGAAATTGGAAAGAGGGGAACAACTTTCGCAAGCACTTTCGAATGCAATTGCAGCCTCGTACATCTCACTAATCGTTTTATCTGAAGACTATGCTTCTTCCAAGTCATGCCTGGCTGAACTCTGTGACATCATGGATGGCAAGCACAATAAAAAACATGCTGTTCTTCCCATCTTTTACCATGTTAATCCTTCCCATGTGCGACATCTTGGTGGGACTTTCAAAACATCCTTTGAAAAGCATGAATCAGAAGGGCTAAAACAAGTAGAGCAATGGAAAAAAGCCTTTACCGAAGTCGGAAAATTGAAAGGGTGGCATATAGCATTCGACAGGTAACTATTCACATTTCTCCTCTTCTTCTTATACTCATTTTTTTTTAGTTTATAAATATATAGATACTTATTATTTGCTAGACCTGAAACGGAGTACATCAAGGAGATTATTGACGATGTTACCAAAAAATTGAGGAGTAGCTTGCCTAGTCCAAGCGTCTGTGACCAACTGATTGGAACAGATTATCAGAAAAACTTGGTTTTGGGTCTAATCCAAAAAGAAGAGAGTCGTGTAATAGGACTATGGGGACCCGGAGGCATAGGCAAAACTACCCTTGCTGATGTCGTATTTCATGAAAACTCTTCGAAGTTTGAAGATCGTTATTTTCTTCAAAACATTAGAGAGAGCGCAGAAAAACAAGGGATGAAATCCATACGAGATGAACTACTTTCTAAACTATTAAATGAAAATGATCTTCGTATAAGCACCCCTTCAATAGGATCCCCGTATCGAGAGAGGCTGAACAGTAAAATGGTGCTTGTTGTTCTCGATGATGTTAGTCACGCAAACCAAATAGATTTTTTGGGTATTAGACATTTTGGTCATGGAAGTAAAATCATTCTAACATCTAGAGATAGACGAGTGCTTTACAACGGAGGAGCTAAGGAAATATATGAGGTAAAGAAGTTAGATGAGGATCACTCTATGCAACTTTTTTCTACATTTGCGTTTAAACAGTTGAATCCTGATGGTGATTTTGAAGATCTATCTAATAAGTTTATGGAGTATTCCAAAGGCAATCCTCTTGCTCTTAAGGTTTTGGGTTCTCAACTATATAAAAAGTCTAAACAGGATTGGGAGAGCGAGTTGCATAAGCTAAAGGAATATGGCCAACCAGAAATTTTACAAATTTTAAGGAGTAGTTTTGAGGGGTTGGGTAAACCAGAGAGGGATATATTTCTTGACATAGCATGCTTCTTTAAAGGAGAATCTAAGGAAGATATAGAAAATGTTCTAAGTTGCGAGTACGAGGGTGCAGTGTGTGGAATAAACAAATTGCTCGATAAATGCCTACTTGATATTAGACCCTTTAAAAAATCTTTTATGAATACATTGCTTGCTATTGAACCCTGTGAAAAAATTTCTATGCACGATATGCTTGAAGAGATGGGCAAGAACATTGTTTGTCAAGAATCTAAAGACCCTGGAAACCGCAGTAGGTTATGGAATTTCAAAGACGTGAATCAAGTGTTCAGATATAATGAAGTAAGCAATCGTTTTATTTATATTTATTTTAATTTTTATACATATATGTGATTTTAATTAGAATTTATACTAGATATATATTTAATATATAAAATTATTTAATTATTCTTCTTTATATGTTAAAGTGTATCAAATATTAATATTTTTAATTATTATTTTAAAAAAATTAAATATTTACTGACTTTCCGTACCATATAATGACCAT